ACTATTTAGTTTCAATAAACTCCATTTTTCACGAGCTTTCATTTGATGTAAAATTCATTATGTCTTCTATTTGAAATTATAGCGGTACCCCCCTGACAAAATGTTATTTCCAACCCTGTATGGTAGTAGAATCAAAGTTTCATGTGATAAGTCCTTCAAAATCTGATCATTTTCCAAAAAGCCATAGATATTCTGAAAGAGGAAGCTTTGCTGCATCTTCCTATGATAAAAACTCAACTTCGATATTTTATTGAAAAATTGAATTTTCTAAAGGGGCCTCCCTAATTTATCCAAAGAGCTGTGAATCAGCGTATCCTGAAACATTGTGCTATACGTGCATTACCCGAAAAGAAGGAGAGCAATACTATTTGCACATGATAGATGATGTTAGCTAACTGCATTTGCTATGCGCTTTAAAAAAGTCCAATGAAATATATTGCAAATATGCCATTTTAATATGCTTTTTTTTCGAATTTCAACGAAAAAACCCACTTCTAAAACTGCTTTGGTGTTTTTCTCAGAATACAGTTTTTCAGCAGAAAAATTGGAATCACTCCGTCACGGCCCTGGGTATTATTCAATATTTTTTTTTTGTTTTAAAGCTTTGAATCAGGGCTAACTTTTCATCAGACGGATTTTTGATACATCTCCCTGGACTGAGAAAAGTAGAGTTTACTGTCGCTCGAGTGACGTGTTTTTGCAGACCTGTCCAGTAAAATGGTCGTAAAAAATGAATGGAAAGGAATTTCAAAAATCCGTCTGATGAAAAGTTGCGCACAGAAACTAGCTTTAATTTGACGCCATCCCGACCTCTCTAGCCTTTACTACGACTGAGTGATTCCCATTTTCCTGGGAGGCATGAAAACAGGTAGCGGCGGCGCCAGAATTTTCAGACTGGGAAGGAGGGCGGGGGGCTGAGCCCCTACTTAAATTTTCTGGGAGGCTCGGGTGTGGGTGTGTGGGTGCGGGTGGGCGTGGGTGTGGGTGTCCATGTGCATGAGTATATTCTGTTTATTGACATCCACACCCACACCCACATCCACATCCACACCCACACCCACATCCACACCCACACTCACACCCACATCCACACCCACACCCAATTCTTGTTTATGTCCGCCAGCTTATTTCGGAGATCGATGTGAATATCAAAATCAACGAATTAGTCTTATATTACGATTTCGAACAGTTGAACTGCGAACAATATTCACTTTTGTTATCATGCTTATTGATTACAATACAATCATTCATACTTCGGAACAATTTGATTATATATCCGTACGTGATTGTTCAAAAAAATTCAATTTCTATCTTCTCTATTTGACACGACCAAAAAATACCAATCAAACTTATAATGTACGTATTGATACATATAATAAAGAAAAAATGGAATATTATGTTAGTATGATCTATCCTATTCAATATTCATTTTTACCAGTACATCGTCTTTCACTACAAGTCGATGTACCGATATCAAAAGTTACAGAGAAATCGAAAATTTGTCCTTTAAAATGTGGACATGGACAATGTAGATATTTTTCCAATTCCAATAAATATTTCTGTCAATGTTCTAAAGGTTATTCTGGAATGTTATGTACAATAAAGAATGCATGTGATTGTTCATCAGATTCGATTTGTATTGAAGTTGTAAACAATCGATCAATATATGTTTGTCCTCTTGATAAATTTGGACCACGTTGTTATCTGAAGAGAACAACTTGCATCTCGAATCTATGTTCAAATAATAGTCGATGTATTTCTCGTGATGAGAAAAACTCCGAAATGAAATATTTTTGTCTTCGTTCTCAAAGTTACATGGGTTCAAGATGTGAAAATCTCGAGATAAAAATCAAATTTCATTTTTCTAAAACTATATTCATTCCACAAACGATTTTCATTCATTTTATCTATTTTCCACCAAAATCTAATCCACTTCCTAAAATACCTCCTGATCCAATACAAATTGTAGAATTTCATCAACAGTATTATCTTGCTTTACTTCAACGTAATTTTACATCATTAATTAATATTTTAACGACAATTATTCATGAACATCGATGTTTATCAATCAAAGATTTATTCATTGATGATATTCAAATCTTACCACGATGACATCGTGCTAAAAAATTCTACTTATAATTGTTCAGGATATAATTATTGTGAAAATAATGGTCAATGTTTTCAAGACAATAATACTTATCCAACATCATTGGCATGTTTATGCAAAGAATGTTATTATGGTAGTCGATGTCAATTTACTACAATAGGATTTGGCCTATCACTTGATGATATTCTTGGTTATAATATTTGGCCAAATATTCCTTTCTCACGACAATCATCAGTAGTGAAAATCACTACAGCTTTTACAATACTGATGTTCGTCATTGCTATGATCAATGGTGTTTTATCTATGATCACTTTTCAAACGAAACGATCACTTGGAATAGGTTCCGGTGTATATCTATTTGTCTCATCAATCACATCACTTCTAACAATGATATTATTTACTCTCAAATTTTTCTTACTTGTCTTTTCTCAAATGTCAATAATTACCAATTATTCTTTTCTTTTATCACATTGTATATGTACAGATATACTTTTGAAAGCATTTTTGGCAATTGGAGAATGGTTAAATGCTTGTGTAAGTATTGAACGAATATTGACCATTCAACTTGGAATCGAATTCAATAAAGTAAGAAGTAAAAAAGCTGCTAAAAGAGTGATCTTCGGACTATATCTTTTCATCTTGGCAAGTTTTCTTCATGATCCTTTAAATCGTCATTTACTTGAAGATTCAGAAGAACAACGTACATGGTGTGTAATTCGTTACTCATCATCTATAAGACGTTACGCTTCATTTATCAATTTCTTTCATTTTCTTCTACCTCTTTGTATTAATTTTATCTCTGTTCTATTCATGATTGTATTAAAATCTCGGAGAAAATCAAAAACGAACCAAGAACAAACATATAGAAAACATCTATGGAAACAATTTCGTCGACACAAACATCGATTATTGAGTTCTTTCGTTTTAGTTATCTTTGCTATGCCACGTCTAATTATTTCATTTGTTTCTAAATGTATGAAATCAGCCCGAAATCCTTGGCTATATCTCACTGCTTATTTTATTTCATTCATTCAACCATTACTTTTATTCATACTCTTTGTTCTAACATCTAAATTCTACAAAAAAGAGTTCAATGAAGCTACTATTCGTATTACAAGAACCATTCAAAACCGATTTCGCCATAAATAAATATCATAACTGAAAATGAATAATCTTTTACATATTCTTATTCGAAAATAAACTTGAAAACAGTATGCTTTTGTTGTATTGGCTTTATTCTGTGGTCAGTTTCAATTTAATTTCAAGGACCCACACCCAGAATTCAAATACGATGGAGTTATGAGAAGACAGAAGGAAGCTATTTTATGATCCAATTTCTGTACTCCCTCTCCAGAGTTTTGGAGAGTCAAAAAATTTTTGTTTTCAGAGAAGTTCTATATGTCAATCGATAGAGGATTGGGTACTAATTTGAATGATGTAGAAACTTCTTTAGTCCTTTCAGAACCGACTTTTTTCCATTGGAAATTTCTTCTTTTCATCAGTTTATCGAATCTGACTCAAAATATTTCCATGAAACGGCTATGATATTCAAAGAAACAATTTTTCTCGCCTGTTACACAAAAAGCCAGCTTGCAGTTAGAGCATTCGATGGTTAATCGAACTTGCACCTTTTTATGCCACCCTAATATATCTCTTCCGTGTTCCCTTGACAGGCACACGCATTCTATCATTCAATTGATCAGTAGATTGTGGTGATGCTAAATTATGCTTCTTGTCTGATGGAGGTGTGAGGGTCAAGAAAAGATATGTATAAGAAGTTTTAAAATTTGTCTGTAAACGAAGAAATATTTTTTTCACCGAATAAATGGGTAGCACAACCCTTGTACTGCGGTCTTGAAAGGATTAATTTTTCTCAACCATAATGACTCGAAATATTTGACAAAATCACGTAAATTATGATGAAGAATTGTTAACTTCCATTACCCAACGCCAAAGGTTTTATTTTAAGTTAACGTATTTGTTTTGGTTTTAGTCATCGATTTTTGTAATGATCATAAAAATTATCCTAAATCAGAGTTTGTTGACGATGATCCTAGCACAGATATTCTGATGATTTCTGACATAGAAAGGGCAAAGCTATTATCATACAAGTGTTGTTATTATCGGCGATGATGCGTTTCAAAGCTAAGAAAATCGATTAGTGTAAAATACGACGTGATTTGTGGCTTATTTCATGTGTTACTCAATCATAAGAAAATGGAAAAAACCTAGAGAACTTTGAATCGAAACAAATTATGTTTCATTTGTTAGAATCTAATGAAAGTCATTGAGCAATTACACAAATGCTACTTGTAATTCTTTGTTGCTTACCACAAATGGAACTGATTTCCGTATTTTTGCACAGAATAACACGAAACTAATGGGTGTAAGTTTCAAGTTGAGCTTTTTCGAATCTTCCTTCTTCATAGCATCGAGATGAAACAATAGTCACCTAATACGCTTCTCTAGTAAAGAGAAAAGACATGTTAATAATGACAATGCTTAGAGGATTTTGATATTTTTCGAATATATACAAAGCATTTTTGAAACAAAGATTTTTACTATACATTGCAACTACTCTGAATATTGCGAACACAAAAAAAAATCTCAACTGTTCCCGTTCCAGGTCACGAAAATAATTAATACGAGAGATTCTGTGTTTATCAAGATACATAATAGCATTTTGAACTCAATTGTGGTATTCAGAAATGCATTCAACAGACTTATTTGTCAATTAAATGATTATTCATGAGTTAAAGTTGTGTGTTTCTTGTTATGATCGATCATAATAAAACAAACAAAATCAAAGTATTTGTTCCTTATATCTATTCTCCAATCGATCAGTAATGGACAAAGAAAGGTATGACCATATATGATATCGCATAATGAAATAATCCTTAACTGATAGGTTTTTTCAGACTTTAAGAAACATTTATCCTCATCAAATTCCAATAAGGATAGTTTTGTAATAATAATTCGATGAATGACATGATGTGCAATTTATATAGTTCACTAAAGGCAATTCTTAACTGTTGATCCATACGATAAAGAACGTTAGTTTAGTATCGTTTTATTGGCGGAAAAAGTACGAAAGGAGAACGAATATTCTTATTCTTTCTACTATATCTTCAGGATAGCAATCAAAGTTAATATAATTGCTCTAGTTCTAGCACATGGTTTTTGAATAAAGCTGCGTACAGTGTCGAATATGGTGAAATACTTGAAAGTAATCCAGAGAATATATAGGGTGTCCAGAAAGTCACTAGAGTTAGAAAAATTTGAATATCTCCATTATGACTTGACCAAATGAGCTCATTTTTTTACCAAAGATAGAGGCATGTTCACACTTCAAATCCATATGGACAAAGTTAGTGAGAACCTTTGTTAAGTATCACTATCGACCTTAACAAGAAAATTTTACTTTTTCACACATCAGAAAAAAAAGCAATATACTTAACAAAGCTTCCTATCAACTTTGTCTGTATGGATTTGGAGTGTGAACATGCTTTCACCTTTGGTTAAAAAAATCAGATGGTTTGGTCGAGCTGTAATGGAATTATTCAATTTTCTTTGCGATAAAGTGACTTTTGCACTATCCTGTACATTGTTTTTTCTCATCTGTGAAAAAGTAAAATTTTGTTGTTGAAGTGGATAGTGATACTTGACAAAGGTTCTCACTAACCTTATCCGTATGGATGTGGAGTGTGAACATGCCTCTATCTTTGGTAAAAAAAATGAGCTCGTTTAGTCGAGCCATAGTGGAGATATTCAAATTTCTCTAACTCTAGTGACTTTCTGGACATCCTATATATTCAATTCCAGGCACCTTCCATAGATAGAACAATCAAACGGAAGCTCTGTGATAAGTAAAAGGACTAAAAATATAGATCAATATGATTCATTCAATAACAACGATGTATTATATGAGAAAATGAACAACACAAGTTTACGATGGATCATAAAATCTGCGGAAAAGGGAGTGGATGTAGATATGTTCTCATCACAAACAGTTACGCCCATACCCACACACTATTATTATTTTTTTCTAGCTGTCGTTCAGATGATTTGTTATTGTACAAAATAGTTGACATTTTCATGATTCCTTTTCACATAATTATGATAATAAAAACAAGGTAAATTTTGACTAAAAAATCAGTAAATATCATTTTACATAAAATTTTCATTCATGATCAGATTTATTTTGAAAATGAACTAAATTTATGTAATGCTAAATATTCGAGAATAATTTTTATGATGGATTGTTAGAAGTTACAAGAATCTTCTTTCTTTAATCCATTGGCCGCCGACATAAGAGAGAGGAGAAACGATTTTTCGGGAAAGTTTATTTGTCTTTTTTGAAATGATTATATAGTTTGTCTTAGCAAAATGATGACTTGAGTAGCACACAATCCACAGTGTTTTTTATTACGTAAATGCATCTAAAAAACATACATTATCAATGACATTTTTAGTGCACGCAGTGATTAAACTTCTGACTCATATATGCGTCGACGACTGTCAAAAGGTTAATGTCAACTGATCGAAAGAGACTTATGCAGTTTTATTGGCTTTTTATCATATTACTAATAATATTGACTATGATTGTACATCTGTAAGTTCACAGTCATTCACTTCCTACGCATGAGTCATGTTCTTGTTTTCCTTTCTCATATCGCTTTTCTCTTTGACTTATTATCTACCCCCTTGTCTGACATTTTAGACGGCACTCCTCTGATCAAGCTACATAGCATCGATCTATCTTCTGCATCAGCAAAGAAATAAAGAAAAGGAAATAAACTAGTGTGGTAAATGATAGAAATAGTGATCCTACTGTATAACTATTACTTTGTTCTGTGAAAGAAAAAATAAGAACGCGAAGTATACACTAGCAGACAAAAAGATTTTTCTAGCTTTATTAATAGAAGAGAAAGAAAGAAAGAGAAACTTGTTTTTTTTCCGTATTTTTATTGCTATAAATTAGGAATAACGCTGTTAAAATAATTTC